CCAGCTGCCACTGGAAGGGACCCGCGGGCACCCGGGCCAGGGAGGAAACGGCCCGTGCTTCCTCCAGAGTCAGGGAGGTGCTGCTGCGGCCCGGCCTCCTGTGAGGTGTCCCCCGAAGCCCGCGGGTTGGAGCTCGGTCAGCATGGGGACGCAGGGTGCCTCCTGGGAGTCCCCAGGGCTGCCACCCTTGACAACAGGTCAGATGCTCCTTGGGGGCCCCTGGCTGCCCCTCCTGGGTGTGGTCACCCCCTCTCCTGTGAGCTCCCTCCACTGTGACATCACAGGCCACCAGAGCTCAGTGACACCCGAGCTGAAGCCACCTCTTTCCCAGGGCTACTGTGTGTTTCAGGTCTGGTCCCCAAGGTGGGCTGGAGGGAGGTGGAGGCAGTCCCTGGTGGGAGGTCCTGGGCTTGTAGGGGGCAGTGTCCTTGAAGAGGATACAGGACCCTTATTTGTCCCCTTTCCCATCTGCTCCCTGGCTAGTGACAGGTTGCTCCACCTCATGCTCCTGCCATGATGTACTTCCTCACCCAGGGCCCAAAGCAAGGTGACCACTTGATTGAGGACTGGAAGTGAACCTGCAGAATGGTGAGACAAAGTAAACCCTTTTCTTTTTATAAGTTAACTGTCTCAGGTGTTTTGTTATAGTAACATGAATTTCACTAACACATCCAGCCTTGGGTGTTTTGTTACAGCAGCAGAAAACTGACTGATACAGCATCTTCCTTAAAATAATTGTGAGTAGGATTCTGAATTCAATTTCTTAACCCAACCACCCAGCCATCAGGCTGATGGTTGATCAACAAGAAGGTGCCTGGCCCCACTCAAAGGGTTTTGTGCCATGGGAACAATTTTAATGGACCTTCCCGCAGGGAAGGTTCTGTTCCCACTTCAGAGTTTGCATCATGAGGCATTGAACTATGGTCCAGATCACAAAGAGGCTCTAAGGAGGAGACTGATCCCAGCAGCTGGGGAGGCGGAGGCAGGAGGATGGCAAGTCCAAAGCCAGCCTCAGCAAAGGCGAGGCCCTAAGAAACTCAGTGAGACCCTGTCTCTAAATAAAGTGCAAAATAGGGTGGGGATGGGGCTCGGGGGTCGAGGGCCCCTGAGTTCAATTCTGGTACCAAAAAAAAATGTGGGGATTGGGAGTTGGTGGAGTCTGGAAGTGTTTTCTGGAGAAGGTGTCCCCTTCTTAAACCCTGAACAAAGTCTAGAAAAGCGCAGCAGGAGGGACACGTGGTGGTTTGTCAAGCTATCGGCAGCTCCATTAGACACTTCATTACGTTATCATCACATTATCGACATTGTCTTCGTTGATTGTTCCGGTGTTTTCTGGATATTCACTTCCTTGCCGTGGTCCACTGAGATGGCCATTGTGGTGACCTGCGGTCCACCCGTGTGGCGTGAGGAGGCTGAACACCTGGTTCACTCAACCAGCCGGCAGTGCCCGAACCCAAACCTGGGAGCCTGGGGCGCAGGGCTGCTGTCTCCGGGAGGACGAGGGTGGAGGTAGGTGGTGGGGGGTCAGTCCCCCAGGGAAAGACCTGAAGGGGAGGGTGGACCTGGGTGCAGGTCCTTTGGCCCCAGCTAGGGAGGGTATCACCACCCAGCTGCACAGGTCACCCCTGTTGGGCCTGTGTGCGGATTGTATTCTTTTTTAAGGCTGAATAATATTCTGTTGCCTGGATGTGCTGCCTTGGGCTTGTCCATCTGTCAACCGATGGACACTCGGTGGCTCCACCTTTGGTGAATGCTTCAGGTGTAAACCCGGGTGTGCAGATCTGTTTGAGTCCGACTTTCATTTTTCTGGGGTATTTTACATCCAGAAGCAGCATTTCTGGGTCAGAGGTTCACTGGAAGCTGAGGTTTTCTGGGGAGTCCTCGCCCCCTCCTCCACAGCGGCTGCAGAGTCTTAGCATTTAAACGTGCACGTTTAGGGACTTACAGACGTCCCCGGCCTAGAGCCTAAACACGGAGGACTGAGGCGCTTCTGGATCCGGGGCTTAAACATGGACGTGCGCCTGAGGAACCTGCGGATCCAGGGACCTCAACATGGAGGACTGAGGCGCTTCCGGATCCTAGAGCCTAAACATGGACGTGCGCCGAGGAACTTCCGGATCCGGGCACCTAAACATGGAGGACTGAGCAACTTCCGGATCCGGGGCTTAATCATGGCCGTGCGCCGAGGAACCTGCGGATCCATGGGCCTAAACACGGAGGACTGAGGCGCTTCCGGATCCGGGCACCTAAACATGGACGTGTCCCTGGAACTTCTGGGTCCTTGTGCCTTTAAAGGGCAGGGCGTGACTCTCAGAAGGGGAGCTGAGTATGGGGCCTGTTGGGGGCAGACTGAGCTGTCACACCCTGAACTTGAATGTGACAGTGGCCTCACTTCCCGGCCTTCCCCGGGGTGTCACTTCCTCCCTTCCAGGTGGTGCCAGGGAGGAAGTGAGACCAGCGCAGGGGCCAGGCCCTGAGGAGGGACACCGTCTTTCTCCCCGCTTAGCCAGGCGCCTGGGGACGTCTTGTGACACTGGCTGCCTCCTGCATCCCTGCCCCAGGACCTCAGGGACCACAGGCGGGGACGGTCGTTGATTCTCCCCTGGCCGCTGACCCTCAGCCCCGGGGTCTGCCCAGGGAGAGCTCTGTCTCCCAGAGGGTCAGGGGGCCCCTGTGACCTGCTGCTCCTTACCCACCGTCATCCTGGGCAAGTACAGGTCAGGACACCAGACGCTACTGAGAGTGGCATCTCCTGGATGGGCGGCTGGGGACTTTGCCTCTGTCCCCAGGTCTCAGACACTGGATAATCCCCCCCAGAGACAGAAAATAACCCCACACTGCCCAAGACTTTCTTTTAAGCTTTGGATTCTGAAATTTCCTGCTGCCACCTTCTTTGTGAAGCCAGTTTTTCAACAGAGACAATATTCCAGGGGGAAAGAAACAACACTGAGTCAATCAAACCAAGCTGACACGACTGGTCCTCCAAGAGAAATCTGGATTGTGGGGAGAAGAGCCATCCTCAACTGGCAAATAGTGAAGTTCCCTTGACTTATTCTGTGTAAGCAAAATAAATGACCTGATGATGACTCACCAACTTGTTTTTGAGGAGTGCTTGGCTCATAGGAAAAATAAAATAAAATACCTACAGATGGGATCAGGTGAAGACGGAGGCTTTAACACACCCCAGGACTGCGTTACAGCAAATGAAAGTGTGCCCTGATTTTCAAATTAAGATTATATTAAAAGCTGGAATAAAGGAACACGGGGCGGATCGTAAGTGGATAATTACCAAAGGTGAATGAAGGAACCCGCAGGTTCCAGCTTCTCCTTTTGTGTATGTGTGAACTTTTCCAAAAAGGAAAAAAAAAATCCTTTTCGCGGAAAGCACTTGAAGAATTCCTTATTCTCTCTGCAACAAGAACCTGGCGCTTAATTGCGGAAACAAAAGTACTCCGGCTTACTATCTTCCCGGGCAATTACAAATTCTATGTGGCATCTAACCCCTCGGTAAGTCGGGAGCAGGATTAAATGCTTATTTATATATTCGTCTGTATCCCGAGACGTCAGCAAGGGAGGTTTAATCAGACGAGCTACGTCTGCCTTTGGAATCTCTGATCTTGGTTTTCCTTGAGTAAGAACTGAGCAGCATCCCCGCGACTCACAAAGTAGCCAGCTTTTTCACGCCTGGAGATGAAATTCCAGACAATAGAATCGAGTGGGTTGTTTCTTGTGGAACAGGGAAGAAGAAATGATGGGTTTTCTTTGCTTATCTCTTCGTTCATCCAACCGAGGTTGATTGAGCATCTGCTCCTTCCCGGGTCCCGTCCCAGGCACTGAGGACACAGTTCTGCACAGACCAGTTGTGGACAGACCACCTGTTCCTGGGGACCTCGCCTTTGAGGGCAGAGAAACCAGAGCGAACTCGGGTCGACGCCTCGTAGAGACCGTTTTTCTAAGAAAAGTGGAGCAGGGAAGGACTCAAATAGGAATGGAGGGAAGCCATTAGGGAAAAGCCCCATTGAGAAGGTGACGTGTGAACAGAGCCGTGAAGAGAGGCAGGAGGGAGCGTGCAGAGTATCTGAAGGGAGACCAGGGCCAAGGGCAGGGACCCGTGGGTGGCGGTGAGCGTTGGAGAACCCGTGGGGACACTCAGGCGGCCAGAGCGGGGAGACTGAGAAGGTACGAGGGCAGGAGGTGGCCAGGACGAGAGGGCATCACCCCACTTTGGGCCTTTATTGCTTTAAAATGTAGATTTTGTGGTTATTCAGGCACAGGGAGGCCGGCAGGTCAACTCTCACTGAAAAGGACCCAAGCGCAGGAGCCCTGCAATGCCCCACAGGGCCACGTGGGGGAGCCCAAGGACCCACAGGGGGCCAGGGAGCGGGAGGGTGGACGGAGAGCCTGAGCTTCGCCTTTGATGGGGGGGGAGCAGGCCAGGCCAGGCCCAGGGTTGGCTGCTGGAACTGTTCCAGGGGCTCGGGCACGGGGGCTGCCCCCAGGTGTCCGGTCCTGGATGGCTGGTGAGTTCCAGGTTGGTTAGGGCTGCAGCTACTGGCCAGCTCTGGGGAGACTGTCCCCCAGGGCCCTCAAAGTCCCTGCCAGCAGAGCGGCTCAACCCTGAGCTCTGCGTCAACGCTTCATGACCGTGACCACCTGGGAGGAGGAGGGGCGATGCAGTCGGGTTCATGGTCACAGAGGGCCCAGTCCGTGGCCCCTGGTTCCGTTGCTGACCCTGAAGTGAGGCAGAACATTCTGGCAGAAGGGGACAGGGAGGCTGCTGGATCATCACAGCAGCCAGCAGAGAGGGAGAAATGGGGACAAGAAGTTGTCCCCAGAACCACACTCGCAGGCCCCCTCCTCCAGCCACGGTGCCCACGGTGCTGCCACCCTCTACCTGTTCTTCGGGTCACCAAAGGATCAGACCCCTGATGACCCAAGCCCTTCCCAGAGGGGCCACCTCTGAACATGGCCGCCTCAGGACGGAGCCCTGGACACGTGAGCTTTGGGGACTTCAGATGTTTTCAGTTCCAGGACCTCACAGGGCCCCCTCCTGTCCCCGGCTCAGCAGTAGGGAGGGGTCTTCATGGAAAACCCCAAGTGAAAGGTGCGAACTTCAGGGGAGCGGGGAGCGGGCCCATCTTTGTGGAAGAAAGAAAAACCAAAGGTGTCAACCCCCAGGTGGCCTCGTGGAGTCGCGGGTGGACCAGACACCCGCCCACGGGGGTCGCGGGGAAGGGAGAGGGCGGGTGGCGGCAGGGACTTTGGGGTCTGGGCAGGCTATTTCTCCAGGAAACGGGGACGGGCTTTTCCCTTCTCTCTCCTGCTTGCGCAGAGGGAGGGGAGAAGACAACAGAACCTGCGGCCAGAGGTGGCCCGGCCACATGGCAGGACAGACACACAGACTCGGGCGCATGTCCGCCAGGTTGCGGGGGGAACACCGCGGGCGTCCTTTCCTGGCTCCTCTGCCTTTCCCAACGCTGAGACGTCAACCGCCAAATTATCTCCCGACCCCTAGGGCAGCCAGGCTGTCGCAGAGTTCAGGAGCTGGTGACGACAGCGCGTCCAGATGCAGCGGAAGGGAAACGTGTCACCGCACGTCCAGCCTCCCCCGCCTCCAGAGCACCCTGGGGCTTCCCACGCCACTCCCAGGGGGTTCTCTCTGGCAGCCACTGTCCCCTGAGCAGGCTGGGTGCTGAGGGAGCAGCCTGCAGCCTGTGGTTGACAGCAGGTGGCGGGAAATGCCCCGCCCCGGGGCCCCAGGAGTGGGAACTGGGGCTGTGCTCTCTGCTACCCCCTGGAGGTCCCCGCTGCCACTGCGTCCCAGGTGTCCACGGCCGGTCAGTGCCTGGCCCAATGGCCCACTTGTTGGGGTCATCCCCTTCCCACTCCCCTGCATGTCCCCAAGCAATGAATTCGTGCCTACAGATCTGCCTTCAGCCCAACGGAGCAATGGAGACGACGGATTCTGGGCTATTTCAAAATCTGTAGGCGCCAACTCCCTCCCCCTCCATCTCTTCCTTCTTCAAAAAGTCACGGAGGGGCCGTGGGGTGACACTGAGCACGAACGAGGTCCCCTAGGATCGGTCTTCCCCGGGCCTCAGTGTGTGATTTTAAAATGCCACAGATGTCAAATACCTGGACTCTCGCTGTCCAAACGAGGCCACGGAGCCCACAAGGCCACGGAGCCCTTGAAACGTGGCGGATCTGAGTCACAACTTAAGTGTAAGGGACGCCACCCAGAAAGCGAGGCCCTGGAGAAAGCAAAACACTTCCTTGGCACTCTCCCTGCCCATGCCCTGGGAGAGCGGGAACACCTGGGCTGAAGGAGGTACACCATGAAGCCGACCCCCACCTCCTTCCCCCTGTTCTCCGCAGCCACCTGAGATTTGGGCAGTAGCCTGTGACCCTATCGCATTCTACTGGACGGTCCACTGCTGCCCCTCTGAGCTCCGTGACCTTGGGCAAGACCTTGAACCCCTTCATGGAGACGGTCTCCTCACTTAGGAAAAACCACAAGGAATCATCCGGCCACTCCTCCCTGCTAATGTCCACTGTGTGCTCCGCTGCCTTGGCCTGACCGCCCCCGACCTCTCTGAACCTCCGTCTCTTCATCTGGGAGGGAGGGCAGCAGCAGCCTCCGCGGCACCACCAGGGGCTGATGCACAAGCCCGTGCTGGCCGTCACCTCTGCCCTTATACCCAGAGGTGGGTGGACGCCCCAGAAACAGGAGACAGGGACACATAAGGGAGCAGAAAAGAGACCCCAGCAGCCCCCGGCGCAGGAGTGCGAGTCCATCTGAGCACGGCACGCCGAGAGACACACAAAGGCGCCGTGTTCGGGCTGCTGGACCCGCGCTGCCCCACAGAGCGAGCATAATGAATTGACCTGACAGGACATTAAGCCTCGCTTCTGCAAGGCCCTCATTCCCCTCGCCGGCTTTGCTTGTGCCTTTTGTGGTGGAAAATGCTTTCATTCCATGCTGACAGAAATCACTCGACTCTCATACCTGAGGCGACCATTTAAGAATGTGTCTCAAAGCATTATCAAGAGGGGAAAAAAAAAAAAAAACAAGTCACCCTTTTGAGGCCAGAACAAGGGAAAGAGATTTAATTGGGCTCAAAGATTCGTTACCAGGTAGCAATGATGTGCGACTCAGCTGTGTGACCTCGGGGAAATCGCTTGACCTCTCAGGTCTCAGTGTGTTCATTTACAAAATGGGGAAATGACATGTTCGATGGGGCATAAAAGACGGGGTGTAGGTTTTGTTAAATTTCATTGCCTCCAACTGACTCTGGAAATAAAAGTTTTGTTTTATTTGGAGACAGAGTGAGGCTCTGTTGTCCGGGCTGGCCTTGAATTCCTGGGCTCCAGTGATCCTCAGGCCTCAGCCTCCACAGTGGCTGGGACTACAGATGTGCACACAGATCGGGCTGAAAGTCACTTTTAATCATCAAAGAGACTCCCTCCTCACAAACGAGTCTGAGACCTTTCTTCAAACATCTTTCAACAGTGACGAAGTTTTCATGTTGAAAATAATTTTAAGCCACTGTCCCCTGACGGTCCTCTTATACAAACTGTGGGTTGTTCCGTCTTCTGTCCATTCCCTGCCTCCCCATCTTTATTTTTCATGCAGGTGTGAGGATCGTGTAAAGGTATTTTCATATAAGACAGTCCCTCTTCCTCCAGGTGCTCATTTTATGGTTCATTATCCAGATAGCCACACAATTATGAACTCAGAGAAGCAACAGTCGTTCCATCTTGAAATGTTCTCCGTGATTTTGTTTGTTTGGCTGCTGGGAATGGAACTCGGGAACGCCCTGCCACTGAGCCGCATCCCCAGCCCGTCTTTATTTTTTTGATTTCAAGATGGGAATCTCCTTCAATTGCTGAGGCTGGCCTCCAACTTGCAATCCTCCCTCCTCAGCCTCCAGTCCCTGGGATTACAGGTGTGCCCCCACACCCTGGCACATGAGCATGTCCTCTGACGAGCTGATGACCTCACCGCCATTCCCTCCAACGTCCATTCTGTTCCACCAGGAGCAAGGCAGTCGAGCCATCCACCAATGTGTTTGTGGGCGTTTGTCTCGGGTGATTCTGTGAAATTTCACAATGCATCCCCAAGAAGGTGAATCAATGCAAAGCGAAAATTGGAAATCTTTGCTAGGGACAGCGGGATTTCATGGAGTCAATGAAAGTGACGCTGGAGAACCCCCAGGGGGCGCAGAGGATGCCCCTGACGCTTGCAAAGTTAAACTGATTCATGGTTAAAAAGGAGACAACCAGCGGAGCTCCGTGGCGCACGCCTGGGATCTCAGCTCCTTGGGAGGCTGAGGCAGGAGGATCCCAAGTTGGAGGCCAGCCTGGGCAACTTAGGAAGACCCTGTCTCAAAACAAAAAATAAAAGGGCTGGGGACCTGGCTTAGCGGCCGTGTGCCCCTGGGTTCAGCCCCCAGTAGGTGGCGGCGGCAGGGGGTGCTTCCAAGGAGGGGAGCCGGTGTCAAAGGATCCCAAGACCCTGGGCGGACACTGATAAAGACGTCAAGCCTCGCTCGGCTGCCACCTGCGGCTCCACCCGAGAGCCAGTTAGGAACCGCGCATGCCCAGAAGAGCAACTGCTGATGCGTCTCTCCGTCAATTCCAAGATTTGGGTGTTTGGATCCTGACTTTGGTCTTGTGCACACCATTGACAGACAGCTCGGGTTCCGCAAGTGTGGATTCGTTCAACAGGACAAGGTCACCGTGGGCCCCTCCTCTGCTCACCCACCCACCTTCCAGGGCTCCCGGTGACAGTTCAAGTCCTGTTTTCTATGGGTTCGCTCAAAGCAGCTTTTCCAGTAGTAAGTATCCCGGAATTCACAGGTTCCCCCGCCACATAGGGGCACTTCACCGCTGAGCCACGTCCCCAGCCCTTTTTATATTTTATTTAGAGGCCAGGTCTTGCTAAGTTGCTTGGAGCTTCAATAAGTTGCTGAGGCTGGCCTCCAAGTTACCATCCTCCTGCCTCAGCCTCCGAGCTGCTGGGATTGCGGGCGTGCGACACCACACCTGGCTCCCTTTTGTAAATTTTTAATAATGTTCCAACCTAGATGCTTTTAAAAGCGACGAGGCAATGAGTGACAGCGTGTGTTGGTGTTCCGAGCTGTTGTCACCATGTGGATCACCAGGTCACATGTGAAACTGGCACGTTTGCAAGACCCTTGCTGCGCGTATTTCCAAACTGGCTGCAGAAACGAGGCACTTTTCCTGCTTCACATAGATATTTCATCCATACGTATCTGCTCCAAATAGACATACTTGTTGAGCACCTACTGTGGGCCGGGAGCTGGGGGTGGGGTGGGGGTGCAGCCTAGGACGAGACGGTCTTAGAGAGTTGACAGTTGAATTCAGAACAATGAACAAGCCCATGCCAGGAATCCCGGATACTCGGGAGGCTGAGGCAGGAGGATCACAAGTTCAAGGCCAGTCTCAACAACTAGCGAGACCCTGTCTCAAATTTTTAAAAAATAAATAAATGAAAAGGGCTGGGGATGTAGTTCAGCAGTAATGCGTCCCTGGGATCGATTGCTAGTCCTATGAAAAGAAAATCTGCAGAAAGAACATTCTGGGCTGAGGCAGCAGGATTGGAAAGCGCGGGCAGGCCTGTGCCGTGCGCACAGAAGAGAAGCCGCAGCGGATGAGCCCTGCAGGGCCGTGGACTGGGAGGCGCCCTCGGGCTTTTCCCATGGGTGGGCGGAAGCCCTGGCAGGCTCTGCCCCCGGAGGCACGTTACCTGGCTCAGGTGTTCACAGGTGAGCAGTCCCTTGGCCTTGGGAACAGAGGATGGAAGACCGGACCCTCTAAGGTCTCCGCGCAGCAGCGAACCGCGAAGCTGCCACACGGCGTGGGGCGTCGGGAGGTGACGATTCCTCACCCCTTTGTGCAGAGTGGCCCCACAGCGGCATCGGGAAGAAGGAAACCGCAAACATCTAATCACAATTATTTGCAAATGCCGCATATTAGCTGTTTAGATGAATCCGCTCTCTGGGAATTCTGCCAGAAAAAGATCCTGAAAGAACCTTCCGCAGCCGTCAAAGCCCGGAACCGGCCTGTGGCGGGCCCAGCCCGGCCCCGC